ATTTTCAATAGTTGTTGCTAATCTACTTGTAGGGCTAGACCTCACTTTCTTACCACGATGTGGAACTAATTTTACAACAACTTGACGTTTGTTCTTTTCAGGGGTATCCATAGGCATATCATCTGAAGAACTCAATTCATTCTCATCTGCATTATAGTGTGGGTCTGATTGTGGACTTTGCTCAATTTCGTGTTCAATTATGTCATTTTCTAATGGCTCTTGATGAACAGTCGATAATTGGCCTTTCCTTGTGGAATATTTTCCGATAGGCATAAAATGTCATATTCTAATGAGAATTGTAGTGCAATATAATAAATAAATAAATATTATTAATACAATGGAAAGACTTACCTTCTACTAGTATGGTAAGTTGATCATAAAGGGGAAAGCTTGCCTTTCTAAATGGCTTTGTTTCAGAATGTGCCTGTTTGCTTAGATATGTGAGCTTTCCAAACATCTTTGATATAGAAAATTTCCTACGACAAACAAAGACAAATAAATAATTTCAAATTAATACTTAAAACTTATTTGCAGATATCGATCCCACACACCATTCGGAGCAGTTACAACATGGGCATGGTCATCCCAACCGAAACCACTTTGGTTAATAAGGTTCTTCGCAATAAAATATTGCTTCTTAAGTGTAGCCCAGTGAGTTTTCAGTTGGTGTACATTATTTTGAACATCAAAATTTTTATTAAATACATCCAATACAGACCTCCAATCCTCTTTCTTCCATCCAATATCAGACCACTTCCCAGCCACATGTAATTTTATCAATTGTTCAACTATGAATTCATCGCGAGTTGTAGTGCAATTTACCTTGGTTGGATCTTGAGAGGTAGGGGGTTGCTCTGACATCTCTGGGCTGAATGATACCCTCTAACACTTGTTAAATTATTACACAATCTTGATTTTATATAAAATAGACACTATAGAAGTTCACATGTAAAATGGCTGCTTGAATGAAGACTTCTAAGATGCAAAATAACTTGCATGCAAAAGGAAAAGGGTATGCGGTCTTAAACTTGAAATTTTTTGGCAGTTCATATTCCTGGTTACAAAAAGAAAAAGCATTCCTCAAACTAGAAAAATAAAGGGATCAGATGAGAAAAAATAACATACTCTAGAAACAAGGAAAAAATGACTACTTTGTTTCCCTTGAAGAATTAAAATCATGGAAACAAGGAGACAGCCCAAACTCGAAAGATAAACAATGAGAGAAGCAGACAAGAAACAACAGAGATAGGTAATGGAATCACACATTTGAAACCAAACCAAGGAAACCCAAAAACAAAAAAACAAACATCCTAAAAGCATGCAAATCCAAAATCATTAAAAAACATAATATTGAACCATAGGCACAGAATCAAGAGAGGTATAAAAAAAAAAAACCCAAAACAAGAAAACCCCTAAATTAAAAGAATAAAAATGTCAAGAGAATATATAGATTCGCGAGATCAAGCCTTGTTACTTTAGTCAGAAAAACTATCCTACATATCATCTGATTCTATATAACAATAAAGAATGTCATGTGAATGAAAGTCACTAAATACTGTGATCAAGAACGTATGAATCTTAAACAAGAGCACATCTCATTGTTTGCAAATGAATCCATGTATATTGTGAAACAAGATGAAACATAAAAAATATGTAAAGAGGTCTCTTTAGACATTGTGAAACAAGATGAAATATAAAAACTATGCTACATATCATCTTATTCTAGATAACAATAGGAAACGATGCCTTCAAGTTTGTCGTATGAAGTTAAATGTATTTCAAAACTTTTGTGAGATTCTTCGAAGTAGACATCTTTTGAATGATACTCGAGGTGTAAGGTTGAAGAGCGGTTGGCAATGTTCTTATACATCTTGGGGAAGAGCTCAAGCAATTACACAGTCCAAGACCGGTTCCAACACTCTGGTGAAACCGTTAGTCGCCATTTTGAGAGAGTTCTCAATGCAATATATAAATTATCATTCGATTATGTTCATCTACCTTCAAGTAGCACACCTCCAGAAATTCGTAAAGAAAGCATGTATTATCCTTTTTTCAAGGTATTTATTTTAAATTTATGTATCTTTCAATAATTTTGGGAAACTGATGATTGAGTTTAATTGATGTTTTTTTTTGCTTTGCTTTTTGAATAATTGCATTGGGGCAATAGATGGTACCCATATTCATGTGAGTATTGGTGTTGAAAAGCAAGCTCCATATCGGAATAGGAAAGGATTTTTATCATAAAATGTAATGGCAGCTTGTTCTTTTGACCTTCGCTTTTTATATGTACTTGCTGGGTGGGAGGGATCATCGTCTGATTTTTATGTGTTAAAAGCTACACTAAAAGCTGGTTTCAAGGTTCCTAGAGGTTACGGTTATTTTCCCTACCTTCAAAAATTTTATATTTGGTGGAACATTTAAATTTTATTTCAAGGTTGCTAATAAATGTCATAATTCTCATCCACTTCGTACAAAAAGTATTGTTATCTTTAGAATA